GCCTAGAAATGTCTGATGGATGATCTCATTGGCATGGAGACATTTGACAAGTGTGTATTACACATCTGAACTCAGAAAAAAAATAAATCACAACTGGTGAGCAGAGGTTAAAACACCCATGGATCTTGTCCACAATGAAGTTAGGTCCTGCAGCCACCTATTCCATGGATATCCGTAAGAAGCAGCAGCTGTGCTATGAGGGTGTGCATTTATTGCTCTTCCAGAAAAGTCTACTCAGGGAACTCTTGACTGAGGCTCAGATACTCAGGAACAGAGACCTGTGTGATGGCTGTTCCTGCAGGCTGAGTGGACACCTACGTGCCTCGTCAAACTGTTACACCTGACCCTCATAGAGATGACATTGTCTTTGAGCCACGGGCCAGACCGTGTGCTTAACAGACCTTGTGTGTGCAATTTCAAAGTTACTCAAAAGACTTTGAGCAACACGTGATGAACCGAGGAAGAACATGCAGCAATGTGTGATAATAACTGCCATCTGATGCTTGCTGAAGATACACACATGATGGTAGTTTTCACACTGTCCTCCAGAGCTCACAGCTTTTCTGTCTTCCTTGTCCTGCCCGTGGTTTGATCAGTATTTATCAGTATTACAGATTGGTTTTCTGGTTTTCTTTTTAGCTGAGGCCTCTCTAAAAGATCACCAGCAGCTGGATTTGAAATGTGAGGCTTTGACAGATGAAGGAAAGAATTCAAGCTGGATCCTGAGGTCTGGTTGAACAACATGAAGAATCGGTGTCTTCAAATCAGACGCTTTACTGGGTCAGCCAAGTTTAGTTCCCTACTGCTGATGGCGCTCCTAGCCCTAGTTTCTGGGGGAGGGGATGACTGCAAATTGAGATGGTATCAAGTTGTTCTTACGATAGCAGGGATTGTCTCTGAACTGCCAGTTACCAGGCATCCCTAATCAGTAGGGCCAGATGAACGCTGCAATTTTCATTTCTGCAGCTCCCTAATGCTCAGTTTCATCTCCCAATACCTGTTTGGTTTGATTATCTTCGCACCTTTCCGAGCTTCACATGCATGTTTTTCTTTGGAAACAACATCTGAGTCATGGCCATTCTGGTAAAAAAATCTCTTTTTAGATAATCCAGGTCAAGAGTGCACACATAAGATTTATTACTTGTTATTCTTTCCTTCATTGTGCCTTTGTTTAAAAAAGCCTCTCATCCAACCAGAGAGCGAGAAAAAACGCTACAAGACTTGAGTGAACCTTGAAACACTGTAGAAAATGAATAGCAAACATCTGAATCATAAAAGCCTGTAAACTAATTAGTGTTCATCAGACTACTCAGTAAAAATTTAAAAATAAAAAACATGCTTGCATAATTCAGGATCAGATTGCAAAAAGTTTCTGATTCTTAAAAAGAGCTAAGTTTGCTCATCTATTTAAAACAAGGAACCAGATGTGAACGTTTGCATTTTTTTGGAAAGAATTGGTATTGTAATTGGAAAGGAGATATAGAAAATTAATCAGTCTGGAAAGCGATTAAACAATTATTCCTTTCTGCTCCTTTATTATGTGCAAACCCACCTCAAAAACTATTCACTTTGAACCAAAATACTGAAAATCCCATTGCAAACGCTCTCCAAAGTTGTATGGTGAAACTATAAGTCTTTTTTTTCAGAGTTGCTGAACAACCACAGTTCCCAATGTTTTCTGAATTTGGCTCCATGGAGCCAGATGCCAAGTGCCTATGGAAGCCTGGCTGTGCAGGGGACTGCCTCGGCTTCAGCCCTGAGTTCTGGGCTCAGATTGCGCCTGGTCACACAGTGAAAGTGAGAGGACTGTGGTCCTACTCCAGTCTTGAGTGCAAGCTGAGCTCAATAACAAAATGAAAAAGAAAGAAGTAATAAACCAGAAAATTTTGCAGGTTTTGTTGTTGTGGGCAAACCCTGACTATAAGATTCCTAGGGCTGTTCATTATCACTAGTGAAGTATGGTACCAATTCAGTCTTTCAGGGCTTGGATACTGAAAGAGTACAGCAATTCTGCTGGCCCAGCATGGTAATACTGTTTAAAGTTTGTCAGACAGGATAGCAACACTTGAGGGATGTGGCATGGAATCTCCCTCAACTTGTTTTGTTTTCTGTCTCTCCCCTTACTCACTCACTGCTCCCAAGGGGCTGGGATCCAGGCGGACTTCATCCCAGGCTTGAAATGCAAATAAGCATCCTTCCTCCATACCATCTTAAGGATTCAGGATATCTAACCCTAGCATGATGTCCTCCAAGTATCAGGACTCACTGAATGCAGCTCTCGTCATTCAAGGACTTTGCACTGTCCCCGTGTCTGCACTGCGAGAGTCCTAGAGGTGCTGAGTAAGGAACCGTCCCAGCTGAATGGAGAGCAGGAGAAGGCACATTTGCTGTCGTTCCCTGTTGTCATACAAAAAAGACATCCACCACTAGTTAAGGCTGATAGCATCTAAGAAGTATAAGGCCATCTACAATCTGTTTGCAGTTTGTTCACCAGATTTCAGGAGGGCGTTTGTTGTTATTAGGATTTTATTTACCAAGTGGGAGATGGTAAAGAAAGAAAATTTAGTCTTTGTGTGCCAAATTGCTAACATGTAAGAGATGAAGCCCTTGGGCCAATAGCTGCAGTTTTATCAGATTTATCCAATGAAATATTAATGGGCTAAGCCTCCCCCCAACCGCCTTTTCTCCTTCCTCATGGTGGTGGGTAGATATTATCAGCCACGTTTTTCTGATGGGAGAATATGCTTGTCTGTTGCTGCGAAGTGAGACAATGGCAGTAGTGGAAAAAAGAGCCTAGCCTTTCACTCTAGTCCCCATCCAGCACCCGCTTCCCCTAGCACCAGTGCACAGGATGTAGTCAACTGAGGGTGCCCAGGCATATTGTATACAATACTGTTAGAAGGTGATGTCTTAGAGTGATAGAAACAGATCAGAGTTGCACATTTGCAGCTCTCCAAGAAGAATTAAGATGTCTGTCTTGTCTTGTCTAGGTACGCTGATACCCATCGGTTGTCTGGCTCAGATCTGTTCCTCCACTTCTCACCTACATTTCTTGAAATTAGGTGGAATCCCATATGTCATTGAAGAAGGCCTGTAAAAACCTCCCAGAGCAAGTACGTCTTCATCCAAAGCGTGCGAAAGTGACTGATCAGATTCTTCTTGACATCAGTAGCTTTATGTCAGGCCATGAGAACAGAACTGGAGGTAATAGCCCCATCTGTGCATAGTGGCTTTTGCCTCTGCAATATTTCATTTCACTCCTGTCAGGAAGCTGAAACCATTACAGATTTAATCTATAGCTGATACAGAGTGAGAAAATTACTCAGAATTCTCATCTATTACTGCCTCTCTAAAAACTTGCCTCTTCCATATGATCTGCCATGCCATGATCTGACAGGGGAGAGCGGCTGAATCTCTCCCTGAGCACCACCAATACAGGGAAAAGGAATTTCTGGGCCACACTGATCTGAAGGAAAAAGAGGAAAAACTTCTTGGTGATACTATGGCATGCTTACACAGCGTCACTGCATGTCTACTAGTGACCAGGAAAACTGGAGGCTTTTGAAATGATGTGGACTTGCATCTTAACATACTTTGCTCTTGATAAAGGTGCCAAAATCCCATCTCCCTTTCTTGACGTTTCTGTCAGCTGCTTCATGCAAATTCTGACCCTGTTCTGTCTCTCTCCCTCATAACCTCAAGCTGTTTTAGTATGTAATTCCTGTGACTTTCTCACTCAGAGCTTTGTCACTACTGAACTGCATTTTTTTCCCTTTTGCATTGGCCAGACAGAACATATACAGGACAGTCTAATGGATTTTGGCTATTAAGACTTCCACTGGAACAGTGCTTCCTTGTACCCTGCACTACTAGCTACCAGTAGACACACCAGGCTGACCTTCGGATGTTCCTGATTGACCCAAAGGTGTAAAATCATCAGTCTACTCTAGCTGACATCATAGTAAAGAGCATGGTGAACCAACCTGTTTTACAGAACACGTTGGGTTATGGAGATCCTGTCTGCACTTGGGGGCACAAAGGTTCTTCCAATTCCCGTTGAAGGGAAGTAATCATAATTTTGATCTGATGTTCTTAACAATAATAGATAGTGGCATACATGAGAAGGGTATGATTGATGATGCCTGAGGTACTGCTACTGATCCTGACCAATCCTGTTAATGCTAGCAGGAACAATGTGTTCATCAATGGTTAAAAGATTCTGGACAAAGAATGATGGAATCAGAAGTGGGATGTATTATTTAATAACTGACTTTTTATTCAATTAAGTTGAAGACTTAATTGAGGAACGAGTCATGGCGTGTTTGGCATGACACACGGAAGAACTCTAAGTGCAGACACAACCTACAGGTTCTGCTACTGCTCAAAAGTAGCTCAGGTTCCACTCTGAACCTCCACAGCTCAGCTTTAGAAAGCTGACGTGAATCTCATGGTCAGCACAAACCAAGACTATTGAATTTCTCTCTCGCTACCTGTTTGACATGAGCAACTGTGGAAAGGCCTTGGACTTTCAACTGCAGCATGGAGAACACTGAGTTTTGCTCTCACTTCAGCAAGTGCAGGTGTTGAAAATGATGATTTGTTTTCCTGGTCACCTCTCACTCAATTTGCTGTCATTAGAAATGGCACAAAAACTAGTGATGGAGAAGGGCTGAAAACAAGGTTCCCTTTCTACCCAAAAAGTTTTTGATGAGCTAACAATGTAAGTAAGTGCAAATCTCAGCTGTGCTGGTCCCATGACACCACAAACCTTAGGCATGGCAAGGAGCATTCTTGAATGCATCGATATCTTGTCTTGTAGCATTTAATGCGAGACGTTACAAACTAATGAAGAGGAGAAATGTATGCAGTGTTGCTGTAAACCAAATATACAGACGTAAAATAATTAAGAATAAACTGTTCCATAAAAATGCACGTCAATAAAACTCACTCTGATAAAGTGATTTATGAATCATTTTCTAGAATTACTAAAAAGAATGATTTCTCGTTTGAGGCTCTGGAAGTCTTGAGTCACATTTTTTTTTTCTTTTAAAAAAATGTCTTAAAACACATGGCTTTACAGCTGCTGCTTGGAAAATATACACCTCCAAAGTCTGACTTTCATTTAAATACAAATGTACAAAATGTAAACTGAGACAATAGAGAAATTTACAAAACTTTTCTTTAAAAATAATAAAGACAAAATTCAGTTCTAGTATGATGCTATTTAAATACGTGCAAGTAGTCATGTTCATTGAATTTCTATTGCAATGTTCTAAATAGACAAATTTGATTCACACAGTCTTGAGTGCCACCTCCAAAAACAGACCTGAGTGGAAAATTCTTCTTAAAATGCGAGGCTCCACTGGAAGGAATGGATAGAAAAATCTCCATTTTTGAGAGATCCTTTTTTTTTTTTTTTTTCACTCAACGGTGGAGGCTCTCTCATCCATAGAAGCTCCATAGATTATAGTGGAAGGATGCAACGTGTTGTTTCGTAAAACTGAGTTGGAACTAGCTGCTTCCAGTGGAGTTTGAACTGACGTGATTTGAATTTATGTGGTGATTTAAACTGGCCTTTGAATTTGGAGAACTCTTTGAATTGTTCTGATGCTGTAGAAAGAGGAAGACAATGACAATTAGATGCCCAAAATATGCCTTGCTTTCTTTTAGGCCAACATTGTTCGTTTTTGGTGATAATCTACTGACTGGACTGCTAGATTTTTGTTCCAAGATCTTTGGATGTAAAATATTCTTCACTTTCTTACCTGTATTCTCTCTAGGTCCAGAGGACCATGGCAGTTCTTGAGAAATGCAGGAAAGACGACTCACGCAAGCTCCAGGAATCAAATCAATTCACTGCAAAATGTCAGTATCTGCTAAATCTGACTAATACGGAGGATATCTGCCAGTGCTCAGGCATGGTTTTAACCCTACAGAAACAGATTGGTCTAAGAATGTTATTTAGATTTGCAAATGGTGCCTCATGAAAGTGTCTTGGTTTGCTGCCAGGACTACCTCACTCAACATTTGCTTTTTTTTTTTTTTTTTTGTTAACATATAAATCAAAGGTTTTCCCAGGGAACTTATCAAAAACATGTAACCATCACAGAAGGCATTTCAGCATACCACTGAAAAATACTTTGGGTAAGAAGTTTTCAACCACTGGAAACAAAGCTGACGAAAAATGCTGGAACATCTGGTGGTAAAAAAATCACAAGAGAAAAAGCTGGGATAGGCAGTATTAGTCAGGACAGCAAGCCCTCTCTAAGATTGCACTTTCTCGTACAAAAATATTACCAGAACGTGGTTGTGACACTGGGCATCTATGAGACATTCCGCATCTTAGTAATAAAAGATCTCACCTGTCGTTTAAATATTCTCTGTAGCAATCCTTTCTTGGGTGGCTCTGGGGGGTAGCTTTTGTTTAGGTCTGGTGAAATAGTACCATTTGGTCCAAATACGTTCAGTTCTTTGAAACACTCCGTTTCTATCATCTAGTGGAATACAAGAAGAGAGAAAAAAAGAAATTATACAACTGCATTAAATATATTCCAGTAGTGCTAGGTTGTTCAAAATCAGGGTCAGGAGCAGCAGCTTGAGCAATATATTAGGAGAGTTAATAGTTGAATTTCTGCTGGTGAAAGGGCTATGGAAGGCAAATAGGATGTATGAAAAAGGGTGGCTGAGTCTGCTCTGCATGTTTGTGCACCAGTCTTACCAGAAGTTGCCTGATAAAGCTTTCTGTTCTTCACCACTGTGGAGAACATTGGGTAAAGACAGGCATATTCACAAAATCCCAGTTATTAGCACTCCTCTGCCCAAGTGGATCTGCTTTTTGATCCAGTATTGGATTATGAAATCCACTGTTGGCTGTGTTTTGATATCAAACAGAAACAAAGACCCAGATCTGGAAACTCTGGAGCAGTTCAAGGTCCAGAGTCAACCGCTGCAGCTGGAACCCACTGCAGGTACAAGACAATGGGTGAGATCAGGATCATCAATGGAGAAGCCTTCCATTAGGACTTCCAGCCATCCCATGGAGGTTCCCAAGAGCTGTTTTCGAAACACCTCTGTAGAAATCCAGGAGACGGAAGCACAGTAGGATCCTTGCCAATTTACACAAATATGCAGAGCCAACAGATACAGTCACCTGAACCTGACATCTGTGGAACATTATAGATCTCGAAAGAGGCCGTTTGTAACTTACAAAAGCATTAGAGTCTGGCAAGTGATCCAGTAGCTATATATTATGGAAACATACAGCTCCTCTTAAACCATCTGTGTTAGGGGATTTATTGGCGTGATTTTACTATTATACATCCTTACCTCATTTTGCCATGGAATAGACACTGATCCTGTGGAAAACTTGGAATAGAAATCATCATCTGTTTGGTCCAGGTTAACTCCTTTCACTGTGGAGAACTGCTCGATGTCTAACACATCCTTGCAATATACTGCTCTGGGCTATCTCAGCAGGGAAAAAAAAAAAAGAAAAAAAAAAACAGCAAGAGAAAAAATATTTCTGAGTCTGACCATGTGCTTTCATTCACAGATTCTTCAAGTGAGAATTCCTAACAACAAGTGACTATCTGCATCCTGCTTCTCTAGACTTGCTCTGCCCGCATGTTGATTATCAAAGGCTGACTTTGCTTTAAGCGTGTTAAGCTCCCCACTTTGAAGTCCTTCAAGCATCAGCGCAGCCACAGTACGTTTTAGTCATCCATCCACGTACCATATGGTTAAGAGGTGAAGGGAAAAGGACAGAAGGAGCAAGAAAACAAAAATCAAATCCTTCAGTAGTCTTTTCTTTTAGCGAAGGAACAACAGAAACCCAGAACGTTTAACAGAGACACACTGGAGACAGCTCTGAAAAGGGACCTCAGATAGAAGTGGTGTTCTGCTCAGATAGCTGTGGAGTTCGCAGCTTAAAAGTTTAAAGGAATGTGTACTAATTGCTAAAGAAAACAGAAGAGGTCTGGCATGTTCCTATTGTTTGCCTTAATAGCTCAGCTGCTGGAAGCTGTCCAGAATCACCTCTATTAACTGTTTTAACTTGGCTGCCTTTCTTCAAACAAATAGCCAAATGGCTTTGCCTTTTTAAACTACTTAATCTTTTAGGATGACAAAGACAGGGCTCTACGCAGCTTTTAGCTTGTATTCCAGCAGTCAGCCACAGAAAGCAGAAACAGTCATCGCTGGCTACCTGTCATAGTTAGTGTGGTCATCTGCATGCCTAGAGAGCTCCCAGCAACAACACAGATATCCTTTGATGTGCAGGA